TATTTCCATTTTATTTCCCAAGTCCATTGTTTCCTTTAGACTGCTTGATTGTTTTGTTTTGGTTTTTGGTTTTTTTGCCACCAACATTTATTCTTCAAATCAGTGAAAATTTTTCACAGCTTATTATGCCTTTTACATATAGACATAAATTGATACATGAAATTTGTCAGGGAACAGAGCTAGAGGCTGTTTTTCATTACAACAACTTTTCCAGTTATTCTTTTTGCTTTGTTTTTTTAATAGTCCAATTAATATGTCTATTATTATCAGTGTTACCTGCTCCGAAGGACATATATGCAGGTTGTTCTGGAGAAAGTGCTCTCCTCTGGTTTAGATGGAACACACTTCCTTCTCCTTCCAGACAGTGTCCAGTTTCTGCTACGAATGTCTATTTTCAGGTCAGAGAAACCTTACGTTGAAGTGTTAACAATTGCCCTGTATAACAGAAGACTGTGGACACTGAAATCAGGACAAGGTCCAAAAGTCTTGGCAAAAGCTTGAAAAGTACCTAAACACTAACCTGATTTTTTGGGTTCTGCCTTTTCAGAATAATCATATTGTGATTAAGTTTTAGAAAGAATATGATCAGTAGAACAGAAGAATTTTCTGCATTGGTGGTGTTCACCATATTACTCTGCATCATTTCATCTACCATTGTGAAGGAAGAATGCTCCAGGGCAAGAGCCCATCAATTTACAATGGGAACTATGCCACTCAGACAGATGGGGATACCTTTAGGTAGCCAAAAGATCATATATGTGCATCAGCAATGGGTGCTCAAGGCATGATTCCCAGCTGGGAACGCTGAAAATTCTGTCCATCACAAGCTGTCTGTTGCTCTTAGCCACAGCTAATCCCTCATGGGTCTGAATTATCTTTTTAAAACAAAGATTGCCTTCTATGGCCATGTAAGGATCTTGTGTGAGCAAGGGGCACAGTGCAGCAGGGGACTTAAATGCCATGAAAATGTTGCAACTGGTCTGTGCTGATGGAGGAGAAAGGCTAGGAAGCAAAATATATGAATCTATGTATATATTAATATATATAATTCATGGACATGAAGTGTCCTATTCCAATCAGGGCACACTGAATGTGTTTTACGAATGGTCCTTATACCTTTCATGCACTCAGAAACTACATGATTTGACTATTCATTACATCACACACTAATGCTACTATGTTGAAAAACAACTATAAATCTAAGGTGCCATTGTCCATCTGATTCTTTCTTGATTTAGGTGTCCCTGGAGTTGGTCTTGCTATGATGTCATAGATAATAGGAGGGGATTTTTTCAGAGGATCCTATTATCTTAGTAGTCCAGGGGCACCCTTCTTTTTCATGGATGGCTTTAAAATTCTGAGAAACAAAAGGTCCTTATCTGCAAGGTGGGGGCTGTTCTCCTTGCGGTGAGCTGGGGCTCTCCAGTTACAGTCTTAACCATGATTATGCAGTATACAAGTTAGAATAAGTATCTCTTTAGAAAGTTAGTATAAATTTATACTATTAAGTTCCTACAGCTTCATACTACGAAGCCTCGCTGTTGCAGCTCTCAGGGATTCTCCCGGCAGCAGCCTGGAGCCCAAGGCACAGGCCTTGCCTGCAGTGGTAGTGTTTTGGCAGGGCCTGCAAAGGGACACTGCAGAGGTGGAATAGAGAGAAGGGCTCATTCTGACTAAAGTCTGTGCTCGTGAATTGGCCTGCGACAGCGAGCTCCAACCCTGGGGAAAGGCGGCTGGTCGGCCCCAGGGCACCGGGCACAGGGGTTTTCCAGCGGGCAGGGGACACCGTCCCGCCCGCGCAGGAGGCGAGGTACGGCACCCCACCCTTGGTGCCTCTCGCAGTGCGCGGAGGGACGCCCCTGCTCTCGAGCCGTGAAGGGCGGCCGTGCCCGGCCGACAAGGCTCCACCGCCCCGTCCCTGCCGGGCGCGGGTCCCGCCCCGCCGGGTGTGTCCGGGCGCGCACGCGCGGCTGGAGCGGCGGAAGCCTACGGTTGGTTCCGCCTCGTGCCCTGCAGCGGGGCCGGCGGGGGGCGGCGGTGGGCGGGAGGCGCCGGCCCCGGCCCGGCCGGGAGGGGCAGCCCTGGGGGGGGGGGTTGGGAGGGTGAGGTCCGAGGGGGATGGAGAGCGGCGGCTGCCCCTCGGGGCGCGGCCGCCCGGTGCTGGGTTGCTTCCTGGGCACCTTGGAGCGTCCCGTGTCGCCATCCTTTGGACCTCAGCTCCAGGAGTGCTGCTGGGTGTGCAGAGAGCTGGGGAGAGAAACCTTTGGCAGGCTTGAGTCTCTCCCCAGGTATGAAATAGGGAAGTGCTGCTGCCGCTTTCAGGCAGCTCCGGCGTGCTGGCTGTGCTGTGAGTGTCGAGGAGGGCATTTGTGCCATGGCCGAGGCGCGTGGGAGCGGCTGGCCGTGTGCTTCAGCAGGGCACAAGGAAGGGCAGCGGCCCCCGCCTGCCTTGGTTTCACACTTTCATTTCCCAGCTCCAGTAGTTAGTCGGGTCTTCGTTCCCGTTACACTGGTGATCCAAACAGTGCTGTGCTCAAGTAACACGCATTACCTGTCCACAAGTGGGTGTTTGGTCGGCGGTAGGCAAACGTGGTTTTCATGGGACTTGTGATCATGAGAATACAGTGGGTATACGTGAATGGCAAGCCACGTCGGTGTCCAAGCCCGTGTAACATCTTTTGTGAATGCAGTGTTTGTTTACAGGTACACTTTGGTAGATCCCATCAATGAAAAATAACTGGGTGGGAATGTCTTGCCTACCTTAACCAACCTGTGAACAGCCACCTAACTGTGTAGTGCTGACGTGTGTACTAAGAACCATCCATTGCATAACCATGGGCAAGGCCAGGTGCATGGGGTTTTGTCAGGGCAAAAATGTTCTCTGGCTTGTGTTAGCTGGTTACGCAGTTTTTTTTAAACGCAAGAGCTGCAAAAGACGTAATAGTAATTCCATTCTCACACTTGATAATAGCATGACTTCTTTAAAATCTAGTTGAAAGTAATTTTGTTGATTAGTTCAAGTTCACTTTTTTTTCCCCTGTTGAAGTGTATTTTTAGTTTTATATCAGTAATTTTTGGCAGTAATTCTTAAGATTTCGAGAAAGTCGTCTAAAACTGCAGCTGGATCCACAAATTAAGGGAGGCTCTTGATTGATATGGCCTTGCCTTGGCTAACACAAGTATTATGACAGGTGTGTCTCTTGTGTTTCTACTCTCTGTTCCTTTTTCTCTCTGACTTGCTTAGGGTACAGCCTTTTTAGAAAGTGGTGTTTTTTTCCACTCTAGAAGTGTGTTTTATAGAGCATAGTATTGTTCAGTTTGCATGGGGTCTTAAAACTGTGTTTCACAGTGAGCATACAATAAATTACTGATTGTGTCGTTCTGGACTTATTTAAGGATTTGTGAAAAAAGTTCTGCAAGTCAGATTTCAGAAGTCTTACTTTTCTTACTGAGAAAGCTGAAGTGAGACATGGTTTCTAGTTATGGATCAGTGCAGCACCCATGAATCTGCAAGGAGCTGGCTGTCATGCTTCTTAGGGTGAGAAATTGAGTACTGCTCCTGTTAAGTTTATTTATGAAACACAATTTTCTAAGTATGATTTGGGACAATCGTGATGCAAAATTGTATACTTTTTTTTTTAAGTTTGCATTTAAATGAGTCTGTTAAAGCTACTTATATATCATGGTAACATTTCTGGTTAGAGCAAAGCTTTCTTATTTCTTGGAATTGAGTTTCTGCCTGCATTCTGTGGTCTCATTATTCAGTGGATGTCACATGAGCAGTCGTATGGCAGGTGATTGTAGTGAACAAAAAACTGAGTTTATGTTACAGTTAATTGAATTGGGTGGAAAGAAAAGGGTTAGGAAAAGAATGTTGTCCAGGCATCCTGTAATAAAAGTATTTTTTTGGAAAGGCAAGAACAATTCTTGATCATGTAGGAAAGATTCAGTCATGGTTGGTAAATCCAAAACTTTCCAGAGGCACAACTTCTGTTTGCCTTCAAATGCTTTGTGTTTGAGATGTTTGTTTGGGATATTTAGAAAAAATGGCTATAAATTAGGGTATGAGGCAAGAAAACCACTAAACCTCTAACATTAGTATTGTGTATTTTCTCATAAATTGTTTAATTGGAAAAACTTTAGGCATTGCTTGTATGAATACTGATTGTATACGGATATAATTCACTGAATTGTTTCTTTCAATTGATTTGTTCTAAACCTGCTCATAGACTTTTTCCGCTACATATTGTAGTTTTTCTGATCAGAAATTATGCATCCTAAAGATCAAAATTAGTTGAGATCAGTCATCTTTACTCTTGACATTATATTTGAAAAAAATAAATATAATTAATTTGAAGTATGTTTAAAAAACAAAAGGATATAAATTCACTTTGTCTGTGAGTTAAATTTTAATCTAGTACTTCCTACCTAGCCATCAGATTGTGCTTATTAGGTTTTCTTCATTCCCCCCACCTTTTATATTTATACATGGTACGTAAACCAAGAGAGAGGAGAAAAATTTCACTTTGCTGGACTAAGTCAATATAGTAACATTGTTTATTCAATATTGCTGACAAAAGTATAATGACAAACATAAAACTTAATGTAACATTATAATAGGCACACAGGAAGTAAATGTATGTTATTGTATGTAACTGAAATACATTGTCAGTAGTGCAGTTTTATATAGACCTTTGTCTGAACACACATATCCTTTTAAATCTATATTATAATTGTGAAAGGACCTAGAACCTAGATTTGAGGCACGCTAGTTAGAAGCAGCATGTCAGTTCAGAGGAAGCTCTACTCAATCAGGTGAAGTGTGCAAAACAGAATAAAAGGTAGCCTATTATATGCTGCTTATCAAACAAGTGTTGATGGTTGGTTGAGTATTACACTGTTTTCTGTCTCAGAAAAGATACAGAAGGCGATGATGAAAAATTGCTTTCTTGAGAATGGAGACTTTATTTGCATAGTTCCAACTTAATTGTGGAAGTTCCCATCAAAAGTATGGGTTTGAGGGTGGGTGGTGTTTGTTGAGGTTTTTTTAATTATAAAAGAATAATGTCATGCAGGCAAAAGTTAGTCACCGAGTGATAAAAAGTTGGGGTATATTTCTGTTACAGGCACTCTTACTGTTTTTTCCGGAATTTCTCTCACTGCTATTGCTCACACATTATACTTAGTAGGTCACTTGGAAGCAAGTATTTCGGTAATTATATCTCTCTGGTTTGTTTGTTGAGCTGTTATCTCCCATTCTGAGGAAGCACTGTGAAGTCATAGAATCTCTGCTGCTCTCGTAAGATGGAAAATAGATGGGTTCCTCAGTGGTCAACAGTGCTTCTAGTGTTTCTGTCAATCTGCATCATTTTCCCATTGTAAATCCACAGTGACTACTCCCAATCACCTTCTTGTCCTTCATGTATTTGAAAGTAGTTTCCAGGATTGTTTCCTTCACTTCCCAGGGAAAAGGGTGAGACTAACAGGCCTGTAGTTGCCTGGATCCTCCTCCTTGTCCTTAAAAACAGGGTTGACACTTGTTCTTCAGTCCTCTGGAACCTCACCTGTCAGCTTAAAACTTTCAAACATAATTGAGAGTGACCTCACAATGACAGAGCCAGCTCTCTCAGCGCTCAGGATGGCATCTCATCAGGACCCGTGAAAGCGTTCAGTCCCTCTTCCTAAGGATTTCTTTATCTGATCCTCCCTTACCCAAGAGTAAGTCTTTCCCAGTGGTCTCAGGCACCTGGGATTCCCGGAAGCAGACCTCACCCGTTAAGAGCAAGGTGCGAAGAAGGCACTTTGATCTTTTTGTATCAGTTTGCCACTTTCAGCAGGCCTGTGTTTCCCCTAGCCTGCCTGATGCTGCTCATGTACCTGTACATGACTTCCTCTGTGACCTTCCTGTCCCTCACCAGATTCAATTCCAGGTGGACTTTGGCTTTCCTAACCCCATCCTAGTGCACCCAAGTGGTGTTCCTGTATCAGGTGTGTACACACACTTGATGTAGCTCCACTTCACCTCTGTTTGGTTGATTGTAAGATCTCTGTTGTACACAATATCCTGCATCCTTTGCTTGCAAACCCTGACCACCACTTCCTTGCTTATTCAGAGGTCACTAGCTTTCTCTCTCATCATTCCTAGTTTAAGCCTTCCTTTAGCAGATTGACCAGCTTCTTGGCAAAGGTGGTTTTACCCCACATAATTTCAGATGGATCCTGCACCTCTTTCCCCTCAGTTCTTGATCCTCATAGAAGATCCTATGGATATAAAAGCTGACTAGCTTTTGACACACTCTGCACAACCACTCATTCGTCTGCAGGATCTGCGTGCTCCTCCTCAAGTTCTCCCCCTTCACCAGCAGGATGAACGAGACACCACTTGGCTACCAGGCAGTGGCCAACACCCTGTGAGCCTTTTAGTCCATGTCTGGTACACTTCTGGTCTCCCCTGGCTATATCCATGGTGCCCCTATGAAGGGCAGCTGGGGGTAACAGCCTGAGAGCCAGACTGCTACCAGCCTCCGTAATAGCCTCTCCATGGTATCCAGGACCCAGGCCCCTGGCAAGCAGCAGACCTTGCCAGGTGACAGGTTGGGCTGGCAGAGGTGTGTTTGTCTCTGAAGCAGGAGTTTCCCACCACTGTTCCTTATCCCATTCTTCCCATACTGCCACAGGACTCAGACACAGAGGCTTCCTTGGACAGAGCTTCCTGTCTATGTCTGCTGCCAGGGCTCACAACCTGCTCTGTGGATCAGGCGGAGCAGGAACCCTCCTGCTGGCACTCAAGCTCACAGGCTCCCAGACTTCGCCACGCTCTGTGTCTCCACGTTCAGCCTGACAAGCTGAGGCTCTGTCTGCTTCTCCTTGGTGCAGTGGGGGTTCCTGTAGCTGCAGGAACTTGGAGGGGATGTGGTCTATCTCCTTTTCAGTCCATCTCCTTTTCAGCATCCCTGATGTTGTACAGTCTGCTCACCTTCTCCCACAGCTTGTCTGCTTGTGGAGACAGATCCTCCATCAGTACACGCTTAGAAGAATATAAAATGGTTTTTTGTTCTAAACCTGTTGGTTACCAAAGCCAGCTTACAACAAAGACACTTCAAGAACTGGCAGATTCAGGAATATAGCACTCCATCATTTTATGTTTAGAGACTGTACATATGTGTGTAGTGTATTAATACCGTGTATGTAACAGCCTGATTGTCATGAACTTGGAAACAATTTTAATACTACAATAGCTGTATTTAGTATACAACATGGTTTTAAAAGCAAGTTTTAGGAAATTTGGTGGATTTTTAGGATAAAGAGAAACACATCACTCTGCTATACCTGAATGGGAACACTGTTGCACTAGAGGATAGCAAACAAAGGGTTTTAATATATAGTACAAAGGAGAATTGTGGGAAAATGACAGCTTGTTTAGGTCTGATTTTGATCAGAGATCTAGAAAAAGAAAAAACACATTAATGAAACTTATAAATAATATTAAGCAGGGAAATTGTGAATAGAATTGAGGGCAGTCAAACATGAAACAAGTGAGCAAAACCCCTGGAAACAGAGATATCTGACTGATAAACAAAATTTCAATGCAACAAGTAGAAGCTGAAAGGAATGGAAAGAAATCCATCTGAAATGGACAAGTTCCTGAAATGCAGAAATCAGGGTAACTAATGACTAGGAGAGTAGATTGGGATTTATGTGTCTGTTGCAATATTAAGATAGGACTATGAAGGTAGCCTGACAAAAAAGTAACACTAGTAATCCTTCCTTTGAAGGCTCTTTGTGAAAGACATTAGGGTAGTGATTCCTTTCTCTCTGGGTTTGCTATAAATGTCATGAGAGATATTTTTTTTAAGCAAGGAAAAAACAAATTCCTAGTGAAGTTTTTGACTATTTTACCTTAAAAGTTTTTAAAAAACAAGTCTGAAATATAGGTGTGAGGCTATAATAAATAGGTGGGATGAATCTTTGTATGACATAAACCATTGCCTGTATTTCTTGTTTGCTTTGCAACCATTTAATTTTGATGGAAGACTTTTCTTTAATATTTATATCCTATGCTGCTGCCACCTGACTGGCAGTTGCTTGCTTTACCTATTACTTAGTAGCTTTCCCAGGTAGTTGTTTTACTTGCATCTTTATGATAAATGTTACTTTTTAGTGAGATATAACTAGTTAGTGAAATCATAAAATGTTTTGCTACCTGGTACTTGAAACATGTTTGTGAAATGTCTGTAAGTTTTTATTTAATTCCTTTAATCAATACCTGACATGTTTTTTTTTCCTTATTGGAATGTATATGGAATCCTGTAGGTTGCATTATACTACTTAATTTACTCCTTAAAAAAAAAAAAATTTTTTTCTTTATCTCTTTAGGAGTATCTTTTCTTCCTGGGTCGTGACACCTGTTTGTGTTCAATGGGGCAACGAATTCACTTTGTGGTTGACCCTCAGGGTTGGTGCTGCATGGGCCTAATTATCTTTGTCTGGCTGTACAATACAGTCTTCATTCCAAAGGTCATCCTTTTTCCTCACTATGAAGAGGGAAATATTTCAGTTGTGGCAGTTTTGTGTAAGTAATTTTAACTTAGCTGTTTTTTGTACTAGTCAAAATACTATCTCTGGGCACTATTTAACATATATGAGAAATGTCAGAAAATAAAAAATAAGGTGAAAGATAAAGACAGTAAGATAAAGGATAAGTGTACTGGGATGGCTGGGAGGGATTCTCATTTTTGTTTTCTAAGAAGCTGAGACATTTCATTTCGGAGGTGTTATAGTAGAACGTCTTTGTGTGGTGAAAAGCATTAATACAGCTTTCACGTCCCGTACCTAGAAGTTGTTGACAGGATTTCAGGTCCACGTCTCTTAGTGCTTGTCAGAATTTGGGGTGGTAGTGCTGCTGCTGAATGGTAACAAACTGAGTTTTGTTAGTGTTGTCATACATCCCCGGATGGGTCAGCTCATATGAGTAATGCTCTTAAGTATTGCTGGGGAAAAGGCTTGTATTATGTCTGGAACCAACTTAAAAATGAGGATGCACTATTGGGAATATCCTTCCACGTGGAGGCTTTGCGGTGTAGAGTGATTGGTGCTTGTTTGATAGACAATGGAGGAACTTTTTAAAAAAGGTAGTATGATCATAGTGGCATCCTGCTGGTGCCATCAGATCTGTTTACTGCTACCTTTTCCTCTCCCTTTTTAAGACTGGGGAGTACTTAATGTTGTAGACTGTATAGTACCAAAAATATGTCTGGAATTGAATGAGAAGGCTGAGTAATTTCCCACTCAGTGCTGAAGCATCTATATTTTTGATGTAGTGTATAGTAGATACTTTGTACACCTGAAAAAGACTAACAAATGCTTATTTATTTTTTTTAGGTTATTACTTCTGCTCATTGTTTTGTATAGGTTCATTACTTAGAGCTTCAGTAGCGGATCCCGGAAAGCTACCTGAAAATCCAAAGATACCAATTACAGGTACATTAAGTTATTTCTATATAATTGAATAAAAGTTATTTTAATCTCCTCAAAATAATTAGGAATCAATTTGACTTTGTGAAATTTGATGGAAACCATGAGCTGTCTCTGCTGATTAAAGTTAGTATGTCACTATTTTAAACTTGTAAATTTCTAGCACTTTATGTAGACTCAAAGCTTTTTTTTTCCAAACTTGTATTGCACCAGAAGTTGAGTTATGTAGGACTTTCTGCTAGGAAATTTTTCCACGGGAAGAATTCTTTTTGTGTTCTTTCAAACGTATTGTGTATTTTGTGCAAAAATGTTTCTTTCTGATATAAGGTATCCCTTTGAATAGCTCTCCAACCTTTGCATGCTCCATTCATTCCATACAGCACTGGTACTTTATAGATACTTCTGAAGATGGAACGTTGAGGCTAGACTGTGACTTTGATATTTTGATTTTGTGGGTGTTATACCAGGGATTTTGTACTTTTGAAAGTAGCACTTTGATTCTCCGGTATTCTCTAGGTTGACAGGAGGATACATTTTTGCACAGTATAAATTGTATTAAAAATGAGTTGGGGTGTTTCTGAACTCTGCTGGTAGCTACCCTATTAGTGAGTGACACCTTTGTGACACGGTATTTATGGGAACAGATTGTAAATCAGTTTCCATCTGTCATTATTACTAGTTTAATGATCTCAGATATTGGGCTTCTTTACTTCCAGTATTCAAATGTTATTTTGCAGCAAGAAAGACCAGATTAGTGCTGCTTGCAGGTGGCACAGAAGTGCTATATTTAACTTTATTTTGTTTATATAGGAACAGTGTTTTATAGTATAGAATTTCAGAATGCCCCACTGTAAAAATAAGCTTTTTTCTTTTTTTTTTTTCTTTTACCCCTGGGTTTAAGGAATTTCTGTACATCAAAAAAAAATTATTTAGGCAGAAATAACCAGTCAAAGTATTTAAATTTCTCAACCATCCACCTATTTTCCCTAAAGACAGAAAATATATGTTTTTGTGACTGGAACTATTACAGTGTTGATATGACTTGTTTCCCATGTGAAGATGAAATTTCTGAACATACGATTTAAATTTTAATTTTCAAAGAATTCCTCTAATTTGGATGGTGCAATTTGAGATAAATATAAGCTGAGCAACAGTAGGTCCTAGTACTTTCAGCTACTCAGTATCTCCACAGATTAGCTTTTAAAGAATCTCACATTGGGTCTTTAATAATAGTGTATATTTGTAAATACAAGCCTATCCTCTACCTGTTTTTTGTTTGCCTTATGTGTAAAACTGCATGTGGTGAGATGCATGTATTAAAATGCTTTGGGATTGAAGATGCTCCTGAAGCGTTTGTTGTGGACTGTATTTTAGCTAGCAGACAGTAGCAGTATTTCCTCAGGAGGTTTTGAAGGGCTATTGTATCATAGTTCTGTCTAGCAGATAGGTTTTTTTCACAGTAGAAGTGTAAGAAAATAATTGTGTTCCAGTCCTCCTTGTGTGAGTCACAGCTTTTGTGCTGTAATAATTGCTCCGTTGAAATATACTGGAAAAGAGAGGACTTTGGAGAGGCAGACTGACACAGAGTAGCAGTAATATCTTCCAGTTTAATTAAGGTCACAGTGGGAAAAAGTTTTTTGTGTGATGCTTATCCTTCTCAGATAATAGTAAGAATTTTTTTTAAAGTGAGAAGCATACCGATTTATTATGAGCACACAGTATTGAGTTTAAATCTCTCCAATATGTCTTACATTTTCACCTAGAACGAGAATATTGGGAGCTTTGTAACAAATGCAACATGATGAGACCAAAGCGTTCACACCATTGCAGTCGTTGTGGACATTGCGTGAGGAGGATGGATCACCACTGTCCATGGTAAAACCAGGACATTTGTTCTAATAATCTGCTGTTGTTTTAGTGATTAATTTTGAAGTTTGTGGTCTTGACTGCTCCTCATTTGTCATATTTCTTTCCCTGTATTGCTTAATTGTTTAAGCATTTAGAGCAGGGAAATAAGAGCTCTGAGCTTTATTATGTCTACCAGTAAAATTGAAAGTGAAAAGAAACATTTCTGGAAGTAATTCTGAGGTACAATTTCCAGTAAGGCAGCAATGACAAACTGCAGAGGACAGCATTGACATCAGGATCCCCCTGTGTTAATTTAACCATGTTTCAAACTACCTTTTTTGTCAATCACTATTTCAGAAAATAGTGCCAGTATAGTGCTTCTGTCATTCTGGCTTAGCTTGGTAATGATGTCCATGCTAATTCTTGTATAAAATTGCGTCCATGTAACTTCTGTGATGCAGACTATATCTAGGTGTCAAAGGTTTCTAATCTTATACTTAATATAGCTAGAATCCTTGTGATTCCTTTACTTCTTCATGTTGGAATATGCAGAAGGAGTTTCTGAATAGGGATGCCTGTTTTGTCTTCTGTTCCTTTGGCTCATTCCTAAGTCTCATCAGGGTAACCTGTGATCACATTTATTTCAAACCACTTGTTTGCATTTCCAGATTTGGGACTCTACATAGTTCACAACCAGTGAAATGTGTTGAGTAGCAGAAGATAATATATGTATTACTGTGAAATTTTGCAGACTTTAAAAAAACAGTTTTATGACTTCAGTGTTCCTTAAAATTGCAGGAGTATCTCTGCTGTATGAAAGATAAATGTGTTTCCTGTTCTAAACAGTGATCTCAGTAGTGCAACTTACACTTTAAGTGGCACTGCAATGGATCCAGTAGTTCGTAACGTTTGCTCCAAAAGTAATCATAAAGTCTCTTATTCACAGTATCATAACTTCAGTGTGAGAGTATTTGTATTTCTTCTTTATATATACACACTTTCTTTCTCTGCAGGATTAATAACTGTGTTGGTGAAGACAATCATTGGCTGTTTTTACAGCTGTGTTTCTACACTCAGATCCTTAGTTCCTATACGCTGATACTTGATTTCTGCCATTACTACTACTTTTTGCCTCTGAAAAAAGAAAACTGGGTAAGAATCTGCTTTCTCTACAATGAGAATAAATAGCTAGTATTGCAGTGCATTTGTTTTGGTATCTAGTTACTACACATTTCTGCTGGCTCAGTTGTTGAGAATGAAGAGAGTTCAACTAGATATATGTTATCAAGTAAGCAGACTGATTTATGGTAAGTAATAAAACATTTTTCTGAAATGTATATGATTTCTGTGTGTTAAAAACACAATGTTAGTTTTCTCAGAAATCTAGGAAAGGAGGACAGAACAAGTTAGGTTTCTTTAGAAGTGATAAGGAGTACTGAGAAGAAACAAGGTATTAAAATTTTCTTTTACTGTCTCCAGAGTAAATTTATGCGGAGTATATATCTATCCTAATACCCTATTTAAAAATGCTGATATTGCCAGCAAAAAATGAGAAAAACATACGATCATTCTGCAAGGAAAAAAAATATACATTGGTTTTGAAGCAATATTTTGTGTTGCTTTGAAAAAGTTATGTGGGTTAAGAGAGAATTAAGTTTGATTTGTTTTACTTGAACTATATATAAACAGATATATTTTCATATCTTGTCATCAGTAAATGGCAGTTGAACACACAAACAGAGAAAATGGACTTAAGATTGGAATAGAGTAAAAAATTATGGAATTTCTTCCATTTTGAAACTCAAGTTGTAAAGTCTCTGTCTCTGGTGCTCATTTATGTTTATTACCTGTAATTTTCAGAATACTTAAGAGGTTTGCTTGAAAGTTGCTCAGTGCTTGAAAGTGCCAGAACAGCAAAGCTAGTACTCTTTCCTTTGAAGAAAATGTTACAAGATCTTCCTTATAAAGAAGCATAAAAACTTCTACCTACAATCTGAAATGGACTTTTTATTTGTATGGAACTGTAACAAATATAAGTACACTGTAAGACCCCAGCATCAGAGCTACGAGCTCACCAAGGGAGTTTTAAAAAAATATACAAGGCTCCAACAATATCTCTGGATTATTAGAAGAACCCTCAGTTCTTTCAACACCTTAAGAGAGAGCGCAAAAGAGAAAAGCTGCACACATTTTCTCAGGGGATACTTTTACTGGTAGACTTAAGAAAAAAATAAGAGTACTTGGCAAAAGTTTAAAGGGTAGCATTCAACCAAAAGCAAGCATTCCATGAAGCATTGACTTAGCATATGCTAACACATACAACATAGTGAAAGCCAACCCATCCAGTATCCAGCTATCCCAAATATTAAGAAAGGAAATTAGAAGAGGAGGAAAAGAAAGAGAGATAAAAGGAGAGATATAGGGCATTCCTAGATCCAGTGTAGGTCCACTACAGGAGGCTAGAAATGGTGGGTTTGAACATGTGGAGAGCACATGTCTTTGGTTTTATCTGCTCTAGCCCCCTGTGGTTGCCCCTCCTAGGTGGGATTTCTGGCCCACTGGGGCTCTGGGGCGGGGTAAGAGGCATTGCTCCCACTGTGTCATCTAGTCTGAGGCTGGGATAGAGGCCTCCAGGGTGTGGTATAGGCCGTGCTCCCAGCCTGCCCTTGACTGACTGCTGCTCCGGGGTTGCCTGGTGAGTCTTGAGGGGCTGTCGTGTGGGACAGGACATGACCTCACCTCCATGAGATTCGACTTGTCCCTCCTCCCCCACCCTGACATGCATTATTCTGACCCAATATAATAATCCAATGTCTAACATACACTAAAGAAAAAGACCTAGAAAACAAGTAACATTCCAGATGTTGTGAGTGAAGAGACTAAGATCATCTCAGATATTGGTAGTGTGCTCTAAATTTTGTTGAGATTTTTTCCAAGTACTGAGGTGCAGCAGATTTTTTAACTCCATGTGGATGTGACACCCCAGCATACTCTCGCTGGTGATGTCACACTCATCTTTCAAGGCTGCTGGAGACTGGCCTTTCCTTGTGGGTAAGGCAAGTCCCATTTTCCATTTTGTTGAACAACTAAAGTGTATTATATGATTTTGTATCCTAAATGATATAAAATAATATTAAACTTCATGAAAAATTCTGCTCCTGAAAAAGAATGGGACGTAGCCTTCCAAGCTTCTTATTTGCCCCTGTATCAGTCTGAAGTGGATGTGATGTTCCCATGAAAGTGTGTGTGAAGATGATGTTTCAAAGGAGAGTTGAAAATGTAGGAAGACTGTACTTCTTGGACTTATAAAGGAAGTTAATTTTTTTTTAATCTATATCAGTGTTTCCATTTGAATCACTTAAGTGACGCTAGAAATATGGAGCAGAGAAAAACTCGCTGTCTGCTTGGAGCATCTTTCCATAGATGCCGAGACAGACCTGTACGCTTCTAATAGTGTGATATCGTGATAGAGTATTTTCTTTTTATTGTGAGAGTTCCCTGAATGCGCTGACTTACTTTAGCAATTACACAGTGTTTAGATGATGAACCCAAGGTCTGTCTGTTAGCTGTGCTTTTTGAAAGTAGTATGAAAGGTAACCTAATTATTTGCTTGGAGATGGTCTGTGCAAGAGAGGGAAAGGGAAATCATGTTTACTTCAGACGTTTTACAACCCCTAAAGAGGTAATAATAAGTAGTTCTTAATGATGACAGTTCAAAAAATGAGTATGTATAAAACTTCTTCTCACTGATACTTGTACTCTCTCTTGGAGAGAAGCCTACTTTTAATATGTACCCTTTGACAGGTGACAGGTTAGGAGGTAGAGTACATATGCAGCAATTATTTTAGTCCATTTCAATATGCTTGCCTGAAGAGTGGATCAGGTTCCCGTGTTTGGCTGCCTAAGTTTACAGAGTCATGAAAGAAATTGAGTACTCACTCTGTTCTGTTTATTTTTGCTTACTTTTAGCTGTGGGGTTTTTGGCTTTATCAATTTGCATATGACACTTCAAATTACACTCTTCCTTTTAAAAACTTGGTCTGTGTTATAGTATGCACTATTCTGTGCCCCAGAGAGATAAATATATTTACACAACATAGAAGAACAGTAGACAAACCAGATCTGATCTGTTCAGACCTTTGTGAAGTACAGTGTTACACTGAATAGTATTTAGCTTTCTCAGTTTTTCAACTGCAGGATTGGAGGGCGGGGTATACACTGAAGTACAGAAAATTAAGGATAGTTTGTTGTTGTGCCTAGTCAATATATCTGCCTGGAAGATGACTTCAGAGCCCTAAGGAGCTGATTTTTTAAAGTATTGCTGAGGATGTGGTACCATATAACTTCATGCTACAAAATAATTTGTCAGAACTGTGTCATTTTGACATTGAATGAATGGGACCAGTGATAAAATTGGCATACTATTAGTTAAGTTTTTAGGCAAGCATCCTGCAAGATTCTTTTCATCTGTATGTATCAATTAAAGCTGAAGTAGCACAGCATTCCAGAGAGTGTTTCACAGAAGTGCTGTTCTTTGTTGAAATTTTGGCTGTAACGAAGAGCTTACGTTTTCTGAATTGACAGGGGCTAGTGTTTAGTGCAGATTCAAAGAACTGAATAATTTTTTTTCTAAACAGCCATCTGGAATAAGCTTATTCTTGCTCATTAAAAATACTTGAGAGTTTTTTGGCAGTGTGCCCTCATCTTATTTTTTATTCTTTGGATATAAAATAGTACATAACACAGAAGCTGGAGAATTAAAATTGCTTTTAGTGCTCTTGTGAAATAATAATTTTATTACAGTACCGATTAATGCATTATGAAAATGTGATCACCATATTAGTACTTCCTCTGAATTAAATCTTGTGTATTATTTTTAAAGGGTCAAGAAAGAAAAACATTTTTAATTAAGTATACTGAGGAAAGGGTGATAGGTTTAAAGGTAATGGAGGAAGCCATTTCTGTAGAGATTCAATCTTTTAGCTTCACCTCTTACTGCAGAAAATTGTTTCATAATATTCTTTGCTCTTGTAATTGATACACTGCCAGAAAGATGGATTGTTGCCTCTATTTGTCCAGCAGGAGGAGTGCAATTACTGCTAGAAATGAAGGAGATGGTAGTTAAATTGTCTATGTGGGATCATAGCTGAAGGAAAATATATAATTCAAATAAAATAGCATATTAGTTCCTCTGCAGGCCTTGGTGGTTTTCAGAGGCTGACATTGGAACATTTTTAATTTTGTATCATCATTATAAAATATCGAAGTCAGGAAGCCTGACCTTATCTTTTAGGAAGTACTCAATCAATAGCCAGATAAAAATAAATAACTAGTCTTCTCATAACTAAATAGTTGCTTTCTCAATGGCTGCGCTGGCACAGATTCTAGACACAGCTGGTCAAATAGAAGCAAAAGTAAATGCTTTGGCAGTATATTTTACCTGGTTTATAGAAGGCTTTTAGTCTTTTAAGTGAAAGAAATTCTGCTGATGCATTCTATTTGCTAGAAATGTTGCTAGAATGATTGTCATAGTAAAAACCCTTGACATACAAAAAACTAAACCCTTTTGCTCTTTTATTTTTTTCCCATTTCTTCAGTTATCCACCATATATTCTGAAAATATTGTCACCTAATCTTTAATCACCTAATCACACTGTTCTGAGTGTTATTGGTAGAGGGCAAAGGAAAGAACATGGAGGATGCATTCTGGCAATATCAGCCTACTGTGTCTGGGACTCAGCTTTCCCAATTCCAAATAATAAGTGCTAGGAATTATTCATTAGACTTTGTGAAAAGATTTCTTGCAGTAATATTTATTTCAATATTATGCATTAACTAATATTAATTAAAATGTGGAAATATGTATCATCCAAAGTCCACGTATGTTGTCAAGAGAATCTAACAGAAAACTTTTTGTCTTAGAATCATGAAAGAGCATACAGGATTTGAGAGGTTTTTAAAAAAAGGAAAACATCAACATTTTCTTTCTCATTGTTCTGCACAACCAACCCAACCGTGCTCTCCTACAGTATATGAATATAAGGACAGTATAACAATATTGAATTAAGTCTAGAAAGTAAATACATAATCTGTAGAGAAAAGATAGGAAAGACTGAGAGGATAACATTTTGTTAAAACTTAATATATTAGTA